CAGCACGGGGATGAAAATGGCCTGGCGATGACTGAGCCGATATGTGCAAAATGCGGGGGGAGACCCCAAATGTATCTAAGGTTTCCCTTTAAGCCAACCCAAAAAGTTGCTTTCCTTGGGTTTAAGCCGCAAAGTGCTTTACCTTGGGTTCCCTTTAAACCACCCCGAACAGAGTACCTCCAAAAACACCTAACTCTATTTAGGCCCTGGAAAAGTGACCAATGTAGCAACCCTTGCTGGCACATCACACAGCATCTTGTTCAAGCATCCACTAACCTGGTCTTCCCAACAAAATGACTGGAAGTGCTTGTTGTTAGAGGAAAAATCCATTTGGGTATGTCTTCCAATGACGCTGCCCTGCGAAAGAGCTTGATTCTGGTTAGTTGCCCTCCGGAATGAGGAAAGTCCAGCAAGTTCTCGAAGGAAAACGCCGCCGTGGCACGTCGTCCAATCGTAGGTGGCCTTGTAGAAAAATAACATGATCCTGGGAAATTGGGCAAAAAACCAATCCAAACCTGGTGGATGGCCCAAATGTTGTGTGCCACTACAATGGTCTTCCCAAAAAAGGTATAAGAAGTCCATAGACTCAGGAAGTGAGCATCTATCTCCAACCAAACTAAGCTAATTATTTCTTGGTTGACGTTGGAAGGGGAGCAAAAAACAAAGTTTTAGCAGTTAAGTGGTTGGATTTCAACCGCTAAACCACAACAAGCAAAAATGGGCAAACATGTTTCTCAACAACGACCATGACTTAAACAGGACACCCATGCTTCCAATGGGCACCCCCCCGGTTCCGCCGGCTTTTTCCTCGCCGAAGTAACTTCGCCGGGGGGACGTAGAACACCACCAGCACGGCGCCAAGGTCCGAGCCGGTATCTCAGCGAAGACGTGGGCGGTGAGTCGAGTTGACGTTGAGTGGATTGGCCAGAAAAAGTCAGCTTTATCTACCACCAAAATGGTCCAAACCCAAAACGCTTTAAGTCCAGAAGGGAAAAAAAGAGGCAGTTTGTGGAGGGTCTGAGGGTCTGAGGGCTTGTGAGGGTCTGAGGGTCTCAGGGTTTGAGGGTCTCAGGGTTTGAGGGTCTGGTTATTTTCCAAAATGGTCCAAACCCAAAAAGCTTTTAAAGTCCAGGAACTCCAGAAGTGGGATGCCTGTTGGTTTCCAGAAAGGTGTCCCAAGGCAACCTTAGGCTTCGCGGCTAAACAACACCAAAAGCCTACCCTCCAAAACGACATAACGTTGACCCCTTTTTAGCGGGGGTTCAGGCCGCTTTTGGGGGGAACACACTCCCCATGAATGGGACACTCGGGGTCAACCTGAATTACCTTCCCCTAGTTGCTGGTTTGGTTTGCTGTTGCTTTGTACAGCAGATCCAACGTTGCAATACATCAAATGAGTGTGAATTCTAATAGGGGACCTTTGATGGACATCATTTGACTGGGAATTATTGTCCACCAAAGCCAAACAAATGTGCAGGAGAAACTCCCCGCAAGCAGGGAGGGCATATATACCAGGCTGGAATTTGTTGAAATATTTGGAGAGAGCTACAAGTAAGACGCTGGTGGGGAACATAGCCTGAGAGGCGTGGAAGGGATAATTTCATTTACCTTTTCGTGTCAATTGCGAGACATAAACATGAATCTCAAAGTTTAGCCTGTTTTGTGAAACAACAAAACACACAAAGCACTTCAACACCAAAGCGGCGTGGCTCTGCACATCTGCAGAGATCTGCATACCCGAGTGGCGTCTATGAAGCCACATGCAAGATGCTACCTTGCCAAACACAAGGGGGCCACATCCCCGACAGGAAACTTGCAAGGCCAAAGCAGGGACGCGCGCGCGAGCCCAAACATGGGAGAAACCAATTCGCGCCAGGCACATACATGGGTTGATCGCCACTCGGAAAGCTCCGCCCGCAATCATTTCGTGTGGCCATGGGGTCTTCTTCGTCAAACGTCGGAAGTTCCTGGCAGTGTCTCCAGCGACGTCGGCCACAGCTGGAATCCAAACAGAGCTGCGTTCACTGCCAGCATTCCCCAGAGGCTGCCGAGGTCTGCTCGAGGACTTTTTGTTTGAAGGTGCAGCTAGGAGGCCATGATTCCATGATTAGAAAGGGGGAATTGTTTCACAACCCCCATTCTCCTCTCTCTCTCTCTCTCTATATTATATATATATATATATATGCATGTGCACACGGCCTGTTTTTCTTTTGATTTTTCTCAGGAACACTGTCAGCCGAGCACCTGGCCATGCAACAGCTTCACCAGGCCTGCGGAGATGCGGTACTCAAGCTCAGGTTGCTCCTATTTAGGCCCTCAAACAACATCCTAGGTGTACCCCGTTGTTGTGGCTTTGAAGGGAACGAAAAGGAACACCATTTTGGGATCCCGTCAAAAGAGGTGTCACACCCATTTGGCGGGGTCCTAAAAATGGTCCCCTAAGATGGTTGGCTCCCTTCTTTAGTACACAACCAATTTGAGAAACCCTCAGTTCTCACTCCACAAGGAAACTCACCTTAAGTTGGCACACTCGTTGTCAGCGTGTGAACTAACTTGGCGGCCGCCGGTGGCGGATGGACCCTCTGGGTGTAATGCTCCAGTCGATGCGCAAAATATTCGCAAAGCAGAAGGACATCAAGACTCGGTTGCTTTCTGCTCCCCTGCTAAAAGTTGAGAACTTTTAGTGGTTTAATGGAAACCATGGAAAACCCATTCGTTGGCAACAACTTAAAGTCCCAACATCCAAGCAACATGCGCCAAAGAAGAAATTTCGGGAGCCTCCGGCCTGGCAATGAATCGGACGAGTCTCCGAAGCTCTGGGAAAAAACAACACCCTAGACCCTTAAAAATGGCTGGTCGTTACCCAACAGAACGGGGTCATGATCCCATTTTTTAAGGGTCCTGGAGACTCTAGGACATAGGATGGTGGATCACTACTGGGTACACCGTGACTCAACCAGGGAAAAACCAGTTCGGCTGTCGATTCAGGTCAATTTGCTTACAGCGGAAAGTAACGAGGAACATCGACGCTTCAAACTGGAGCAAAACCACATGCACATAATCCTAGGTTCTCCAGTAGAGAGGATAGAATAACGGTACCCTTTTTTCTGTAGTCTATATTAGTAGGGGAACCCTCACCCCAAAAAGGGGAGAGCAGGGCACTACTGGGGGACCTAGTCCTTGAAAAAGCTGCTTGGTTCATTTGAAGGTTGATCCGGTGGCTTTCCTTGAGTAAACTTTGGCGAGGGACGATCTGCTTCACCCTTCAGCATCGACCAAGCATCATATCTAGGTCCTCCCGTGGAGAGGTTGGAATAATAAGGGTACCCTTTTTTCTGTAGTCTATTTCAGTAGGGGAACCCTCCCCCAAAAAGAGTAAAAAGGCACCTTGATACATTTGGCATCCCGCAGGGAGAACCAACTAGGGGCTATTTCGCACCCAATAAGTTGTGCTTGAATCGAATATGAAACCTGTTGAGAGTGTCATTCCGGCAATATTGAAAATGACTAACATCACGCTCATTTGCGATCCGTCCCCAAATCCCGGCCAGTGATTCTCTTTGTCTGCTCTGACGTGGGTGGCTCGTCTTTTTGTTGGACGCCCCAAAGGGCGAAACAGATTTCATAGCTTTCACCCACATGTACATGGCCCCGCAGTCTTGCAGCTGCGCCTAGCATGGTCTCTGTAGTGGGCGGCCTGACGGAATTGGACGTATCTGGGCTGGGCTGGGGGGGAGGGAAGGGGGGCTAATTGGGGCCCTCCCCCCCCCCTCCCTCCCCCCCAACCCGCGTGATCCTCAGATCCCCGGCTAAAAGTCGGACTTTTCGTGGGGCAAATGGAAAAACTACCACATGGCTGGGATCTAACCTAGAGTCTTTTTCTGACCCTTCAAAAATGGGGTTGCCCAAAAAAGAAAGGGGTCAGGACCCCACCCATTTTTGAAGGGTCATGGAGACTCTAGGAAGGAATGCATGGGTGTGTCCTTTTCTAAGCCAATGTTCTGAGTGATTCCCACAAGTCTGGTTTAGTCCACAAAGCATCACAGCTGCTGAACTAACCAATTTCGGAGGAATCTGCGATCCCCCGCTTTCAAACAAAAAACATGAGGGGGGAAGTGATCTGTTTGTGTCTTCGCGGGCTTTCTAGATGACTTCCTTCGGATCCCCAAGAATTTCCCCATGCGTTTGCCAGTCTTTCCAACCCTTGGTTTGGAAGCAAAGCACGTTTTTTGTTGCAGCACCCTACGAAAAATATGAACATCCGCAGCTCCGAAACCTCCTGAGACCCCATAGCTTCCGGCTGTTGGGGGAAAACCTACTGGTTCAATCAGTAGCTGGAGTGTCATGCAGACTCTCACATGACTGTTTCCTGGATGTTGCAGCGGACCATCCAGGCGCTTGTCAAAGCTTGGCAAGTGCTTGACAAAGGCAAAAGGCTCTTTGCAGCACCCACCAACCAATGAAGAGAACCAAACAACTCAAGTACTGTGGATGGACGAAATCCATTTCGCACCACTTTGAAACCATGAGAAACCATTGTTTGTTAATATTTACAGGGGAATCATCATTCCAGGGTTTCTTAGGTGGTGCAGGATTTCGTCCATCCACAGTATCAATTGCATTCCAGGGCTGAAATCCAAGTCCCCATGCCCCAATCCAATTTTTGAGGGGTGGGGATTATCCTTCATTACTCACTTCCTATCAGGTGACTGGGCCAAACAAGTCCAAACTGTACTTTTTTTCCACCAACATGGTCCACACCCACAAAGTGATGAAAGTCCAGAAACTCAGCGAGTGAGAAAAAACAAGTCCAACGAACAGTGAAGACTCGGATGTTTACCTCTAGATCTTACCATACATTGTCCTGGAAAAGGGGGCGAAAGGACGCTCGGATCATAGTCACTGGTCTAGCCCACTCCTGTCCTTGAATTTACTTAAGCCAGCCACTAGAAACACTGAAGAAACATTCAAACGGACCCAAAACTGGCTTCGGCGAAGAGCTAGCTCCCCTCGGGGCAAACGACTCGATAGGGCCCGGGCGAGTTGTTGAAGCCGCCCTCTGGGCCAATGCCGTAGTAGCCCTTCGCACGGCTCAAGGGAAGGGAACCCGGGTGTGAGCATTAAAACGCGGGCCATGTGTTTCCTGAAGAACGCAAGGGGCCTGGACCCTCGAACTGCCCAACAAAAAACAAGGTGTTCACCCCATGATTTTGGGCAATGCGTCTTTTAGTTGGAAATTCGAGGGTGCAGGAAGGTAACAAGAGAAATCTATACCAGGGCTCAAGACCTCATTTGAGGTCCATGGAGGTTGAAAACCCGCTCTGCGTCTTGGGCTGGGGGTAAGAAGTAGCATGCCTTCCTTGCCCTGCTTGATCAGGACTCTGGAAGAGAAAGGATTTGGACTCTGGAAAAGAGATGCGGAAACGCCACTATGGAATCCCCTTGAGGGGGGGGGGGTAGGCACGTTACGGGGGTGGGCAGTTGAGAGCCCCAAAGTTCCTCCGGGTTGCTTAGGGTTTCTTGGGCTTCCTTGGGGAACCCCCCCCCTCAAGAGAAAAGGCAAACCTTTTGGAGCTACAAAACAAGGCGCATGGGCAAATAAGGTTCGAACCATCATTTCCTTGACCCCCCCAAAAAAAAAATGTGACCCCCCTCCTTTTTCTTGACCCCCCCCCATAATTACTTGACTCCCCCCCCAAGAAGGTCACTCGGCGGCCAAATGGCCAGTGAGTTCATATTCGGACTCGTGAGCCCCGCTCCACCTCGAATCTAACTTGATCAAGCCACTGGCAGGTGATGACTTGGGTCTTCACATTGGATTCCTGGGCTCTCCGTTTTCTCATCCACTAGAAGCGACTAACATTTCTCGGTTGCTTTCTGCTCCCCTGCTAAAAGTTTAACTTTTAGTGGTTTAGTGGAAAACCCATCAGTTGGCAAAAAGTTAAAGTCCTAACAGCCAAGCAAAATGCACCAAAGATTTCGTGGGTCAAATGGACACCACCAAACCCTCCCGAACAGCCCTCAATGAGAGCTGCCCCAAACCACCCCCCAAAAAAAAAACGAGACACCATAGTTGCAGCTGGGGAACAAAGAACTGAGCGAACCGGCTGGCTGGGACGCGCCAAGATGGTCCTCTGGGAACTTTTGAAGCCAGGGAAAGCTGACAGATCCCAGCTGTCACTCACCGGAGTTCCCCGAACACCCTTGAAAACCCTGAAAAAAATGGCTCCGAAGCCCTGTAGGTTGAACATCCCCCAAAACCCTGGCGAATCTTTTTGAAGAAGTTGAAAACGTCCCTCCAACCGACCTCCGACCTCCCAGACCTCCAGCCCATCCGAGCCCATCGCATCGAACTCTGGGGCTTCGGGCCCCGGGGCCGGTGTCAAAGACGATGTTGAAGCTGAAGAGCACCTCCACCAGCCCTGACGCTGACGGCTCCGACTCTGACGGCTCCGAAGTCCCACTCTTCGACTCGACACCCCAAATTTGCGCTTCAGAGGTTCCGGGAAGAAACCAAAAGAAAAGATCCAGTAGTGAAATCAATTCCCTTTACAACCAACAAGGGACAACTAAGGATTATTCTTATGAGCAAATGGAAGGACTTCAAGAATTGGCTCGGCTTCATGGTTGAAAGGAAACATGGAAGCAAGTCCGTTCGGCTTCTGGCTGGTTGAAAGGAAACCAAAGGGCCCAAAAGTTCATAACAAGTTGGGTCTGGCACGGACGCATGTGACATACTGTGGATGGACGAAATCCATTTCGCACCACTATGAAACCATAGGAACCATTTTTTGTTGGTATTTACAGGGGAATCATCATTCCAGGGTTTCTTAGGTGGTGCAGGAGTTCGTCCATCCACAGTATGCCTCGCTGACGCACGGGTGTTTTTTTCTCCCGTTGAGGACTCAAGACTTGAGAAGAGACGGTGGGTGCCCCTTGAACTTCGTTGGGTCACCACGAAATCGAGGGGCGGAGTTCCAATTCAACTTCAACCGTCGGTCTGTTCAAAACAGATGGGGGCGCCATGGGTGGAGTTATTAAAGAAGCATTTGGCACATATAATTGCCCTAACATATCAATTTGGTATGTTGAAAAACCGGGTTTTTAGGAGGTTTCCTGAAAAGCATGATCCCTACAACGCATGTGGAAGCCACCCCTGCACAAAAGCCCAACTGTCATATGCTTGGAATGAGTCAGGGACAAATTCATCGGCTTGGTGTTGTCTTAAAGTTTGCTTGGACGACGAGAAACAGACGCGGGCAACCCAACGTACCTACAAAAACCGGAGCGGCTGCGCCCGTGACCTTTTTGAGGGTACCCTTTTGGGTGGGTTCAAGTGAAGGCACCCCTCAGCTAGTCACAGACGCCATGCAAAAAACCAAGTAACCCAATCACACAGGGGAGGGGTGTAGAGCATTCAGAACAGCAACCCAAACTCTTAGCTACCTATTTGTGATAGCCTCAAAATCGGCTGGGAATCGAATTCGACAGGTAAAGCAAGTACACCAACCCCCCCCCCCAAAAGCCCCGCTTTCCCGGCCCCCCCGTACTAAGCCCCAACCATGTCCCCTCAACCAAGCTCTAGTACGGGAACCAGAGGGGCAGTGGATGGTTTGGGGCACGGCTTGGGACTTGGAACTGAGTGACTGTGTTTGGCTCGTTCAGTGACCCTGGAAAAAAAAGAATTGGAACCCTTTTTGGGGCTTGGACCATTTTAGTGGGGCAGCCACCAAAAAAAAGGAAAAATAATCGGTGCCACTGAACAACTGAGTTGGATAATGGTAGGGGCTAGTGAAGAGTTGGGGACGGGGTGTCGGGTGTCCGTGTTGGTCGGAGTGGATTGGAGAAGAGTTTGCTGGCTTGGGCACTTCTGAGTCAACCTGCCCGTAAATTTTAGGCTTGGCTCATGACAGGGAAGCTCATGATAACCTAAGCCCTCCGGCAAGAAGCAACCAATTCCCTTAAGCCTTATAGGGAACTTCGCCGACGAGAGGTCCAAGGCTCCCATGCAAGAGGATGTCTCTATCTTTTTCGGGCTTCATGCATGTTGGCCCCTTTTAAAGGGGATACCCGAAATGGGTCGCGAATTTTGACAACCCCCACGTTGAATTTCAGGAGAGAAGTCAACCACATGTTTCTGTGTAGGGATCCGGCCTGGAATGAGGTAAGCATAGCTGACCACGACCAAAAGAAGCACCTGAGTTGTGAATCGGCTGGCACCTCGCGTGCCGCAACTAAGAATGGACTGCCAGTCACAGTGTCACTTGACCACATCAATCAGCTCCCATGTAAGGAGTTGCGAGGATGGCCAACTTTGGTCAAGCAAGGTTTCATTTGGGCCTTGAATTCAAGTTCCTATCTGAAGCTCTTTCTTCACTTCCGGATGTGCGGCATTCTATTGACACCTTTAAAGGAGGGCTGGCCTTTTGCTGACTGTTTCAAAGTCAGAAACTCTCCTTTTCCTTGAGTTTGCCAACTCAAATTCGCGAAACAAAACTTTTAACATGGCTGGCCCGTTGGTTCAACATTGCCACACTCTGTTTGTTGTGTGTTACTGTTTCGTAAAGGGCCAAAGGTTTTGAAATAACCATCTCTTTGCCTCAGGGTGGTTCGCCAGCGTCGAAACAACGACATATGAAGTTCCGTCAAATTTTGCTGTTCACGGTAAGAACATTCGAACTTTTCTAGGTCCTCCTGTAGAGAGGATAGAATAAGGGTACCAACTTTTTTCTGTAGTCGATTTTAGCTACAACACCCTCCCAACCAAAAATACAAGTTGAGACAGGGCACCTAGCTGGGGGACCTAGTGCTCAACATCCTATACAAAACCAACAAGCCAACCAAAACGAAAATCCTAAACCTACACCGTAAGCCCAGCACCCAGCTTCACAACCCAACACCATGGAACTTTTACAGAGTCCCCTCAACCTTTTTTTTGACTGCGAACACGCCGTCGACGTGGGCTCGCGAGCCGATGCTTCTGGTCTTCGGGAAGCCAACCCGCCACTCCGGCCATTTGGAGCTTTCGTTTGTTTAGCAGCCAACCTTGGTTGACGTTGGGTTCGGGGAGCCAAAATTAAAAACAATTAGCAGTTAAGTGGTTGGATTTCAACCACTAAACCACAATAAGCAAAAATGTAAAATGTTCCCAACAACAACCATGCAACGCACAAACCTCACCCGGCTTTCGTCATTGGTCCACCACTCGCAGCTCACAAAAGGCATCGCTGGATTGTGAGTCTCAAGCACGCAACACTGAGCATATTACGTTGGCAACAACAGCGACGCAAACATAGGCCAAAGGAAATGTCGAGAGTGCCCTAACTGTGCCCTATCCTTTACAAATAGTATTTTATTGGATGTCCAAGTCAGACTACTTTGCTGGACTTTGCGACCGCCTTTCATTTGAAGGTTTGTGTCTTCACTTTCTGCGGGGCTTCGTCTCGGCATCCGGGCGCCTGATTTCCAAACCAAAGACTCTCAGACCGCCGAAGTGACCGAAAAACCAAAAAAAGTCCTTTAGTTAAAAAGATACATGTTGGCCAGTAAAAGTACCTAATCAATAATACATCATGGATCAAAATCCCGGATAGCCCCAGTGAACATCCCAAGCCCCACTAAAACAGGTTCTCAAATGGGTGGTGCGCCTACCCCAAAATGGCATCCCATTGGTTTTGACCCACAGCCACATGTTGGCCAGTAAAAGTACTGTCAAAAATGCATGTACCAGCTGGATTGCAAACTTCCATTTGCTTTTTCGCCCCCAGGAAAAAATGACTAATATTTCCAATAGTGAAATCGATTCCCTTTAAAACCAACAATGGAAAAGAAAAAAGAAACAAACACATCGTCTTAAGCAAATGGAAGTATATCATCACCTTGCAAAGCAGGTGGCCTTTTGGCTTCTGCACCTGTCCTTTGAGGACCCCCTAAGATGCTATTGCAAGCATCAAACCCTTGGGGGTGAAAAAAACGCCACCAGAATTTAGGTACCAGAAAAGGTAGCCTCAAAAAAGCCGCGCCCACACGAAACAAAACCGAAGAAGAACCTCGCTTCCTGAGTTGATTGGCCAAAAAAAGTCCAAACTTTTTGTTTACCACCAAAATGGTCTTCCCAAAAAGTATAAAGTCCATGAACTCAGGGAGTGAGGAAAGGGGGGGGCTGGGAGTCCACACGAGCCTTTGGGGCCTTTGGGGCACCGCGCCCACACGGGCTCGCGGCTCCTTTCCTGGGATTCGATCGAGCGCGTGGCTCTTTTCGAACTGGGGGCCTTCAGAGTTGAGAGGTTAGAATAAGTTGGTACCAACTTGTTTTTCTGTGGTCGATGTTCGGAATTGAGAGGTTAGAATACGTGGGTACCCAAATCACCCCCCTCTTGCCTTGGGGGGAGGGGTTCGGCCTCTTTCCCTTCTAGGTCCTTCAGAGTTGAGAGGTTAGAAAAAGTTGGTACCCGACTTTTTTCTGTGGTCGATGTTCGGAATTGAGAGGTTAGAATAAGTGGGTACCCAGATCACCCCCCTCTTGCCTTGGGGGGAGGGGTTCGGCCTCTTTCCCTTCTAGGTCCTTCAGAGTTGAGAGGTTAGAATAAGTTGGTACCAACCTCTTTTTTTTCTGTGGTCGATGTTCGGAATTGAGAGGTTAGAATAAGTGGGTACCCAAATCACCCCCCTCTTGCCTTGGGGGGAGGGGTTCGGCCTCTTTCCCTTCTAGGTCCTTCAGAGTTGAGAGGTTAGAAAAAGTTGGTACCCGACTTTTTTCTGTGGTCGATGTTCGGAATTGAGAGGTTAGAATAAGTGGGTACCCAGATCACCCCCCTCTTGCCTTGGGGGGAGGGGTTCGGCCTCTTTCCCTTCTAGGTCCTTCAGAGTTGAGAGGTTAGAATAAGTTGGTACCAACCTCTTTTTTTTCTGTGGTCGATGTTCGGAATTGAGAGGTTAGAATAAGTGGGTACCCAAATCACCCCCCTCTTGCCTTGGGGGGAGGGGTTCGGCCTCTTTCCCTTCTAGGTCCTTCAGAGTTGAGAGGTTAGAAAAAGTTGGTACCCGACTTTTTTCTGTGGTCTATTTTCGGAATTGAGAGGTTAGAATAAGTGGGTACCCAAATCACCACCCCCTCTTGCCTTGGGGGGAGGGGTTCGGCCTCTTTCCCTTCTAGGTCCTTCAGAGTTGAGAGGATAGAAAAAGTTGGTACCCGACTTTTTTCTGTTGTCTATTTTCGGAATTGAGAGGTTAGAATAAGTGGGTACCCAAATCACCCCCCTCTTGCCTTGGGGGGAGGGGTTCGGCCTCTTTCCCTTCTAGGTCCTTCAGAGTTGAGAGGATAGAAAAAGTTGGTACCCGACATTTTTCTGTGGTCTATTTTCGGAATTGAGAGGTTAGAATAAGTGGGTACCCAAATCACCCCCCTCTTGCCTTGGGGGGAGGGGTTCGGCCTCTTTCCCTTATAGGTCCTTCAGAGTTGAGAGGTTAGAATAAGTTGGTACCCGACTTTTTCTGTGGTCTATTTTCGGAATTGAGAGGTTAGAATAAGTGGGTACCCAAATCACCCCCCTCTTGCCTTGGGGGGAGGGGTTCGGCCTCTTTCCCTTCTAGGTCCTTCAGAGTTGAGAGGTTAGAAAAAGTTGGTACCCGACTTTTTTCTGTGGTCTATTTTCGGAATTGAGAGGTTAGAATAAGTGGGTACCCAAATCACCACCCCCACTTGCCTTGGGGGGAGGGGTTCGGCCTCTTTCCCTTCTAGGTCCTTCAGAGTTGAGAGGTTAGAAAAAGTTGGTACCCGACTTTTTTCTGTGGTCGATGTTCGGAATTGAGAGGTTAGAATAAGTGGGTACCCAAATCACCCCCCTCTTGCCTTGGGGGGAGGGGTTCGGCCTCTTTCCCTTCTAGGTCCTTCAGAGTTGAGAGGTTAGAATAAGTTGGTACCCGACTTTCTTCTGTAGTCTAGTTTGGTAGGGTCCCGAACCCTCCCAACCAAAAAAGAGAAGAGAAGGGCAGTGGGGGACCTAGTTCTGGATTCCCCCCGACCTCGGAGATGTGCGTCCAGGTGTCGAGACTGTGGATGGATGCGGAATGGGTGTTCGCACCACGAAATGAGTTTCCATGGGAATGAAACCATGAGGTTTGCTGGCATTTACAGGATCTATAATCAGAAACCAGGGTTCCTTAGGAGGTGCGAAGTGGTGTTCGTCCATCCACGGTATGACCCCTCCCCCGATTTCATCAGGAAGAGGGTGGGGATTGTTGTGCGGATAAATTACTTCTGCAAACACCCCTGGACTGCAAGGGATGTCGCAAGCGCGTGCAAGTTGGCCCCAGCAACATCTCGAGTCTGACCAAATGTAAGGCATGTATGGCAAACGGGAAGTGACTTGGGAATTCGGTCCTTTGACTGGCACGCAAACACTGTACCTCTGGAAGTAGCCTCACACGTCAACAAACAAATGTGCTTCAGATCAAACATCGCGACCCTTGCATAACAACTTCCTACTTATTACCCCCCGCCTAAAGGGGGGACATGGGGGGACTTTCTTGGGAATCTTTGAGACGAGTGCATGTAACCCAGGGAATATACCAGAGTGACAACCAACACCTGCCGTGGTTGTGAGGGTTGAGGTTGGTTTGTGGTTGGTCAAAATGCTGGATGCGCGGCGCCTGCGATATCCGTTCGGGCTTGAATCCAGATCTGCTAAGCTATGTTGGCACTGCAGAGATACAAACACTTCTACTTCTAGTTCAACAAATATTCACAGATAACCTGTTATTAGTTATATTCCATTTACTTAAGCCCCTACAGGAAAAAGTAGCGATAGATTCCCTCTAAAACCAACAGGGGATAAACAAACTTAAAAAACACAATGGAAGTTGTCCCAATCGGTCTTGGCTTTGGGATACTTCACGCTCAATTTGCTATATCAACCGAGGGCGCGGCAGAATACTTCTTGCACACCGTCTTGTCCAGAACGCCTGCGGACGCAAAACAACCAGCCGTGACAACTAACCCCAAACGTCCTCAAGTGTTGGTAGTCTAGGTCCTCCAGTGGAGAGGATACAATAAGGGTACCCTTTCTCCGTAGTCTATTTCAGTAGGGAACCCTGCCCCAAAAAAGGGTACAAGGGCACTACTGGGGGACCTTGTAGTGGTTCCCAAGTTGTGCCCTTCACCAAAACGATGATGATACACATCATGCAATCCTAGGATCATGGTTGAACATGGATTACACCCTAAACTATAAGAACACCTTTGACAAGTCTTGCCTGGCCCGGGCCCAGGCGACCCGCAGCCGTGCAAGCTGGATGCGATTGTCCTTGAAGGCCTCGGTCCGCTGAAGCACTTCTCTCAAGCCATCCTCGTAGTCGGCCTCGGTGTACAAACCCTGCTTCGCCGGGGCGCGATAGCTCGTGCGTGAGCTAACGCACGACGTAGCCGGTCCACCCAGCTCGGCCCTCCGGAGATTGGGTCCGCTGAAGACCCAGCAAAGTTGGAGAGGGCTGATCTCAAGCTTTCCCAGGTACGGGACGGCCTCATCCAGCTCCACCATGTTTAGGAAACACTTCCTTGAAAACAACTCTCGACCGTCCCTCAAATACGCCAAAAAATGCATCCTTTTGAGGGTTCCTTTCGCTTCTTCTTAAACACCTGCCAGAACCGCCCGACCCCTGTCGACCTAGACAGGGGCTACAAAATTGAAAAAATAGATGGTACTTAGGAACAGCTTTGTCGTGAGGGGGTTTGCAAAAGCAGGGGTTTGGAGGTCTTTTGAGGTCATTCAAAATCATGTTGCCCCATCGTGCAGGACAGAATATTGAGCCATAGAGGCCAGCCATTGCATAAAGGGTGTGAGGATTGCTTCGGAAATGTCGTGTACACTTCATGCCACTTTCATGTCATTTCTTCGCATCACTTTCATGTCACTTTCGTGTCACTTTTGTGTTGTGTTCGTGTCACTTTCATGTCACTTTCATGTCACTTCGCATCACTTTCATGTCACTTTCGTGTTACTTTTGTGTCACTTTCATGCCACTTCGTGTCACTTTCATGTCACTTTCGTGTCACTTCTCTAACCCCCTGCGACGTCGACAGTACTTGTGGCTTAAGCCGGTACTTTTTCGTCACTCAACGTCACTTCGCATCAATTTCATGTCACTTTCGTGTCACTTTCGTATCACTTTCGTGTCACTTCATGACACTTTCGTGTCATTTCGTGTCACTTCCGTGTCGCTTCGTGCCCCATACCAAAACCCGTCTCAGTTTGCGGCCACGGTACCGTTACGGTCATTCTTTGTTTGGCAAGTGTACACGAAGGGCTGGTGACGACAAAGCACATGGGGCTGGGGGTAGCTGAAAAGATCGAAGGAAAATCGAACCTGAATTAACACCAATTGACGGGGTCTCTGCTAACCCATTTTAAACTGTCAGAAGTACTGCCCATTTATTTGGGAGATGTGGTGTGACTTGATGGGGTTTCCGCAGGATCTCAATGGACGGGGGCTGGGCGGTCCTGATTGTTGCCTTGCTTTCTGTGAAACCGAGGTTTCCCGACCGGGACCTGACTGCGTGCCCACGAAACATAGTCTGTTTGAGGTTGAACCAATAAACGAGAGCTGATTCTTCATGGGCTATGGAATTCAGGGGGCTTTTCTATGTTCCTTTCCGCACGAGGTGACACCGTTGGACAAGTGCGCTTTACGAAACGGGCACGCGACTTTTGGTGAAGTTTCCCGTGAGGTACTGTGGATGGTGGCGAAATCCATCCATTTCGCACCACCGTTCAGAATCCCTGGAATTTCGGATGATTTCCCTAAAGCAACTGGTTTCAACCATGCATGGTTTCATATTTCCCCAAAGGCAACAAACTAATGGTTTCAACCATGGTAACTCATTTCGTGGTGCGACATGGACTTTGTCCACCCACGGGGTCCATCACTGTTCACCCCACACGGCAACAGGGGCTCGCTAGACTTGCACGGGGGGAAAGGGCTCCAAATCCCAAAAGAATCAGGCGACTCGCTAATTCTAGATGGGCCGAGTCTTCTCCAGAAAGTACACTCTCCCTCAGCCATGTGCCTGCAAGACCTGATTCCTCCCAAAAGGATCATTGTCAGGTGCCATACACCACCACTGGCGGCAGGGTACACTGCTTCCTGGGTTTCAAGAAAACCACGGCATCGCCGAATGACAGCCAACCTTCTGACTGATATATGAGAGGACTCCAGACGCTTGCGAACATTCAGTCTCACTTCCTGCGTCTGGCAAAAGAGCATCTCGCATGTTGTTCAGGGATTCTTACATTATACACCTGAACATTGCAACTTGTAAATGGCGGTTTCCCTTTATTTTGCTGGAAAAGGCCATGTTTCAAATGGGCAACATGGAGATCTTTTAAGGAGCCCCGTTGTTTGCCACTAAAATGGCCACCCGCGTTCCTAAAGTTCCAGACCTTCCAATTCCGTTCTGAACCCAGGGATCCGAAACTCTTCCCGAAACCGTCCGAAACAAGCCAGGGGAAACGGATCCCTGAGCAGTGGTTGGAATGGAATCCACGAATCTGTGATACAACAGAAAGGGCCTGGCCTAAACCCCAAAGACGATGTTCTTCATAAGGGAAGACGATGTTTTCTTCACAAGGGGGATTCCCAAAAGTAGCACAGAAGTGGTTGGAGAAAAGAAACCCCGAGTGATCCCACAAGCCTGGCCCCGAGAAAAGTCCGTCTTAGGAAATGAGCCAGCCAAACACCAGCCCCTATGGACCCGAACCTAAAAATCCACATGGCCAGGGAACATCCCGGCGACTCGGTTTTCGGTGTCCGGTGTTCGACGATTAAGGCCTCCCACGACGGCTGAAGCAATCAAGCCTCGGCGCATGGGGTACAAACAGACCGAACTGAAGTTCTTAGCTTTACTGAGCCCCTGGTTGATTTAATGGCAGTTGATCAATATTCCTGTTTCCGGAAAACGCCATCTTCGCGAGAAAAAAAGTTTCTTTCGCGAATCTTGCGCGACTCCATCGCCAAGCCCTTTTGTTTGCCCTTTTGTTTGCAGCGTGCGCTCTGGAGCCATTGTGGCTGCTGCAGTTATGCTTGCACACAGGATAGCCGCAGCTCACCTGCGTGCAGTACGTAGTGTTAAGTGCAAGCAGTCACCGTCATTCGCCCTTGCCACTTGCGCTTGCCGGCGGTGTGCGGAACCTTGCAACAAGCTCCCTGGACTTTCGCCGGTCTTTCGCGGATCTTTCGCGAAACTTGCTCCAAAATAGAGCAGCCAACGTTATTGATTTGCGCCATTCCTAACACAGGCAGGGAATCACTAATGCAAGTGTAGGTGCTGCGTATCTCCCTCTACAAGGGAGCGGGGTCTGCAAATATGTAAGTGCACAGGCATGCCTCCAAAAATCCAACGCGGAATCTTTCGCGAAAGAAACTTTTTTTTCGAATTAATTTAGCATTTCTCGGGTTAGCTTTACTGCTGTTAGCTTTGCTGAGCCCCAGAGTGATAGCTTTCTGGTTGATATCACTGGTGTATATATGCGAGTCACTTGCCACAAAGTCTTTGGCTTGCGAAATACCGTCAACTTGTCCAAAGAAGCAAATAGGTTTGACCCAGGATGCTACACACATGATGATCTTTTGGGTGCAAGCTGGAGTCGTTCGCTCACCTTGGGGTTCCAAGAGAGGTCCTTGGGCTTGAACTTGTTGCCTTATATAAAATGGACTGGAACTCCTGCCTAGCAAGTGACCCACTTTTCTGTTTAGTGGCAAACAAGGGAAAGCTCCAAACATTCCCGTCTCCACTCTGCAGATTTGCTATGTCGAAGCTGACATGGAAGGACACCACTCTGTTTGGCTGGGTCTGTAAGACATACTTGACAAACGAAACACATGGTTCAAGTGTGTTCCGCCCGCCGTTCATGATAGCATTTCTTAGAACCTGACACTACTCGTAGGAAATACAGTGGATGGTTGCGAAAATCCATTTCGCCCCACCTAAGAAACCCTGGTTTTTACGGATGATTTCCCTATAAGATAGCAAGCGAATGTGCTTTCCTTCCCATGGTTTCTCATTTCGTAGTGCGGGATTTGGATTTCGATTTCGCCACCGGCGGTACGTCTTCCATGAAGGTATTCGATCCAAGTTTCGTGGACTGTAGACGTGGGCCACGCGAAGTCCGACACCGAACTCCGACCGCGACCGACACCCGAAACCGAAAGCATGGGAATGACACACCACAGCGCTTGTTAGGTCCTCCAGTAGAGGCTAGAATAAGTTGGTACCCGATCTTTTTCTGTGGCCTATTTTAGTAGGAGAACCCTTTCCAAACAAAGGGTGAAAGGGCAGTATATACTGGGGGACCTAGCTTGCGTTGGGGAATCGAATCCGAAACCGTTGGGTTTTTTGAACGGTACCGAGAAGAGGATTTTGCAACCATCATAGGTGTCCTTGTTGGGAAAATAGATAGCCCTGGTAGTTGATTGAACGACCAGGTAAACCAGGGTCCTCTATTTTTAAGCCAAATCAGACAAAACGGACGCCCATGGCAACCTCACGTCTCCAATACACACATATAAGTCATACTAGTACCAACAATGCAACCATCCACAGTATTGCTGGTAATGGCGATGTGTTTTGCGAATGGCTGGCAACCTCCCACTGCTGTGTCCCATGCCCAAGCCTTTCAAGTCATACCGATCAAGCCAAAGAGCAAGGAAGAATCTCAGGTCTCCAAGACCACAAAAAGTGATACCAATAATTTAGCAGCGCGATCCAGCATCTGCCCTGCGAGCTCTTTCAATAACTCCTCCGAGCAAATAACTTCTTTTTGCTGAAGTCCACTGCAAAAACACAAAATGTCCAGTAGCGACAGATTCCCTTTAAAACCAATAGCGGAAAAACAAATCATTTGGCCATGGGTCAAAACCCGAACCGTACCTGCAGTGAACATCCGATTCAATCCAACCACTAGGTGCTCAAACTTGGGTGGTGAATTCAGCTGCCCCCCCAAAACGGCACCAGTGGCATTGGTTTTGACCACCACGGCCATTTCAGAAAGATGAGATCGAAAAGCCCAGTTCACTAGGCTGGAATTAGCTGACCCCAGCCAAAAAACATTTATCTATTTGTTTGCGTTAGTGGAAAACAAAGGGACCCATTCCAAAAAAGCAACAAAAACAAAAAAAACGGAAAAAGGGGAGCTAATTCTGGTTGGAAGCTCACATCCACTGGCTGAAAACCGCTTGGCTTGCGAAAAGAGTCCCGCCCAACCGAGCTGACTGGAGCCTGCGACTCACTGGAATGGCTCAAAACACATCAGCGTTGAGTTTTCAAAGCCGTCCCCAGAAATGAGCCAAGCAAACACCAGGAGCCCCATGGAACGGAACATAAACTAGGTCCTCCAGTAGAGGGGTTAGAATAAGGGTACCCTTTTTTTCTGTAGTCTAGTTTAGTCGGGGAACCCTCCCCAAAAAAGTTGGCAAAAGGGTACTACTGGGGGACCTATACATGAGCGTTGAATGTTAAAAACTGTTCATTGATTAAATTGAATAA